TGTTGTGTCCACCAAAAAGTAAAAAATAAATATTAAAAAATTCTTTCTCTCTCTCTCTTTAAAAAAATGGATTTAAAAAATGTGGCATAAGTACACAATGGAATATTATTCAGCAATAAAAGAGAATAAAATCACGGCATTTGAATGCAGTTGGAGAAGATAATGCTAAGTGAAGTTAGCCAATTAAAAAAAAACAAATGGCGAATGTTTTCTCTGATATAAGGTGACTGACTCATAGTGGGGTAGGGAGAGGGAGCATGAGAGGAATAGACAAACTCTAGATAGGGCAGAGGGGTGGGAGGGGAAGGGAAGTGGGAGGGGGTTAGCAATGATGGTGGAATGTGATGGACATCATTATCCAAAGTACATGTATGAAGACACGAATTGGTGTGAACATATCATATATACAGAGATATGAAAAATTGTGTTCTATATGTGTCATAAGAATTGTGATACATTCTGCTGTCATGTATTTTTTTTTTTAAAAAAAAGCAATTAAAAAAAAACTGGTCAAAGGACTGGGTTGTGGCTCAGTGGTAGAGCACTTGCCTGGTATGTGTGAGGCACTGGGTTCAATTCTCAGCACCACATAAAAATAAATGAATAAAATAAAGATTCATTAACACCTAAAAAATAAAAAAAAAAGAACTGGTCAAATACTTGACATGTCCATAAGATAAACATCCTGGTATCCAACCCCAGAATACCATGTGGCCACAAGAGGGAAAAGCTCTACATTCCCCAACATGCAAAGACCTTCAGGACATCCTGCCCACTGAGTGAAAGTGGGCTGCAAAGCCATGGGTGTGTGACCCCAGGTATGCAAAACCGTCTTGAATCTGATGATCTGTGTTGGAATAAGAGATCTGGAAGCCTGTTCACCAAAGGACTGGCACTGATCTTTCTTTGGAAAAAATTAGTTGAGGGATTTTAATTTTCCTCTCTACATATTTCTCTATTGTCTGAATTTTCTGAGARTATACACATTTATTTTTAACAAAGCAGAAAAAGAGAAATATGGGAAGAAAATGGCATGTCCTCTCCAACCCCGAGCCTGCCTTTGTCCCGTGGTCACAACCCAGGTGATTCCAGGGTGGAGACTGTGCAGCTCCACGTGGGGAACCTGGCCTTGGGTCTGCACCTGAGCTGTAGCAACTGGGCCAGAGGCTCTGYTGGCGGGGCTGGGAGGCATCCTGGGAGGCATTAGGAGCTCAAGCTTCTAGTGGTGTGAGTGAGAGAAGCCCTGGTGCTCTTTACCCCTCATTTAGCCAAGCAAGGCTCTGCTGTGAYGAGTCACCCAAGATCTTCCCTGGCAGGAGCCGTTGTGCAAGTTACCCTTGCCTGCTGGAGGAACCACCTGTGGTGGGAAGGCTAATTGCTGGCCTGGCCAAGAGAGAAGGGGTCAGGGGCTGGCCCCAAGAACAGCCCAGGACCTGAAGGAAGCATGTGCATGGGTGYGAGACAGAGGACAGCTGGGTAAAAGGAGGACAACTGAGCAGTCCTATGGGTGCTGGGGACCCAGAAAGAAATGGAAGTTCAGGGCTAGGGAAGAAGAATGCAAGRGCTTCAGCTGCCTTAGGTCTCTATAATGCTCATGTCCAGGTGGGAGTGTGGAAACCCACCCCCCTTGAAAATGCCTCGTTCTCCTCTGAGCCAGCTATTCCCATGCTTAAGAATCATCTATGGCTCTCAACTGCCTGAATCATCTATCCCAATTCCAACTCTGCATTCACCGTTTTCCTTGGTCCCATCTTGGCTCTAATTTGCTTTGCGGGCCACATTGCCTCTCTTTCTCTTCCCACCCATCCCTCCTTCTGAAGCCAGAATTAAACAGGCAGTCAGTATAGATAGGTACATCGAGTCAGGTCTGATCAAGGAGGCCAGACTGTSCCCTGAGGGATTGAAATGTTACTTCCTTCAGAGCCCTTCCTCCGCCCTTATCAAAACCTGCCCCTGCTCCAGCCTGTTGCCAGGGTAACCTGTCCCAGGAATTGCCCCTCCTTCAGGGAGCATAAGGTGGTTAATTAATGTGTCTTGGGCTGCTCCTTCCACCCTTCCCCCTTCAGCCCACCTGTTTCCCACCTTTTGGCCAGCCACCAGCATTCCAGGGCCTGGCCACAGTAGGCAGGAAGGAGAGAGATAAGGGGAAGAGGGCAGGAGAGCAAAGGAAGCCTGAGACATAAACAGGGCAGAACACCTCGCTTCTTGGGATACCAGGATACCAGCTGTGCCCCCTTCTCCCTCCCGGGAGAAGTCTATGTTACCCCTTTTAAAATAAGCCCTGCTTTATGTGCTGGCCTCAGCGTGCTTCTCTCATGCCATACTTCAACATGTGGGGAGCAGGACTCACCAATAACCGGGTTATCGCCTCCCTACTCCCTGCCCCTCCAGGGCCCATGTTCCCTGGTCTTCCTCTTTTTGCTTGTTCTGGCCCCCCTGCCTCTTCCCACCCCTCCTCTCGTATCTAGTCAACTCCTATCCATCTTTTGAGTCTGAGAAGCCTCCCCACTTATCCCAGCAAGCTGGCCCCTGCAGAACTTCTGGGGCAGCTGCTATAGCCCTTGCCACCCCACCCGAGCAGTTTTCACGTCTTCCCCATTTTTGAGGGAGCTGAGGACGACTTTCTGTCTCAAGGTGGGTCAGCACCGTGTTCCAAGCCCCCAAGCTGCAGCAGGCCCACGGCAGGCACTGGGCGAGTGTGTGGTGAGTGGTGGGCGCTGCYGTACCTTTCTGCTCTGGAGCACTGCTGATGGTGAAGGGGTGCCACTCATAGCGAGCGATGGTGGGGATGTTCAAGTATAAGTAGTCCCCAGGCCTATAGTGGAAGAGAGGGGGCCGCTRGAGGATGAGATGAGTGACCTGAGAAAGAAGAGGGAGGCCAGGTCATCCTCTCTACCCTGGAGCTGCCAGGGGCATCAGAGAGAGAGGGCAGAGCCTGGGTACACCTTCCTCCAATGGTGACGCTGTCTCTGCCTTGGAGTAGGACTCACCCTGAAGCCAGCCTGCTGGCCTAGAGATGGGTGACACTCAGGGGAAGGACAGTGGCGCTGCGCTAAAGGTGTTTTACCCCACTTCTCCCTCCTGGGCTTGAGACTTCCATAGCACTTCCTGCCAGCACCTGGCTGGCATCCCACTGCCATAGGCTTCTCTCCTTGAGTGACAGCATCCTCCTGGACACTAGCTCTAGTTTATTGGGCACTTACTATGTACCAGAGCTGTGAGGAGCACAGTGAGCAAGAGTGCGAGGCCCCACAGCAATCTTCTGATATAAATACTGGTCTTCCCCACTTTAGGGACAAGAAGCTGAGGCTCTGAGAGGTTAMATAACTTGCCCAAGGCCACCAGGCAGGGGGCTGTGGGATATAACGCCACCAGAGGCTGTCTGTCTCCAGTGCCTGGTCACACAGGGCACCTCATCATTCTGCATTCTGAGTCCTCAAACGGAAGCTGTCCAGAGCTGACCCGCCAGCACTGCCTCCTTTTTCTCTGTCAATGGTGCCACTCTGACACCTGGGAGATGGCCTTGGCTCCTTCCTTACTCACCCCAAAATGCAGTGCTACCTCTTGAGTTTTCTGTGGTAGGTGCCCCGCCCTCCCATGGCTGCTGCCTCAGGGTCAAGGCCTCACAAGCTATGGGCTTCGTATTTGCTAGCGCTTCCCAATGGGTCTTCTCCGAGACACTTTCCACAGAGCAAATAAAGAAATCTAGCTAGAGTATGAATTGTCCATGTTTGCCCCACTTCACCACCATCTCCTCCTACAAGTGCAGGGGTTCTGGCGGCCTGCAGGGCAGGGTCCAAGCCTCAGAGGTCTTGGCCACACCCTGCCCACTTCTCCAGCTTCTCCCTTGGTTCCAGCCATGTCAAATTCCTAGAGGTCCCTTAAGTACAGCGTGCCCCTTCACTACCCTGGGCCTTTTCTGAGCTATTCTTTCTCTTACCAATACGCTTTCCCAACTTTCATAGCTAGAAAATTCTTATGCAACCCTCAAAACACTGAGGTGGCATCACCTCCTCTATTGATTGATTGAAGGCTTCTCTGACTTCCCAAAGACAGGAGTTTAATACTTCCTTACACTCTGCTTCTCTCTCCAATACAGCTCTGCTCTATGTGAAAGGGCTGACTCCCTAGAGAGCAGGCAGTGTCTGTGTGACTTATCACAGGGCCTGCAACCTTGCAGCCACTTAATATATTCTTATGGAGCTGAATTGGGATTTTCTCCCTTGTCCTGGCCTTTTGCTGTCTGTCCCATCATTCTTCTTCCTAAAGGGTCATACCTGAAAGGCTGGGCCGGGTCTCACATGGTGTGGGTTTCCTCCACTACCCTGGGCTGCAGTTATACCAATGTGTACTTCTTTGGGGTCTAACAAGGTGCCCAGCGCTCTGCCCTATCACCCGCCACTCAGGGTTAGAGGAAAAAGCCCCCCCTTGCACCTTGGAGGGGAGGAGGTTGACTTCCACAATACTCAGGGGTGCCATGCGGGACTTGATCAGCCCCATGGCCTTCTCTAGGAGGAACAAGATGCCGGGGACCARAAGCCACTTCCAGAAGTTAGGCCCATGCAGGATGAGAAGGATCCACAGGGGCAGGTAGGACAGGTGGGTCCAGTAGAACACCTGTGGGGGTATGAGGTGGTCACTGCCAAGCTTGAGGCCTGAGGGTGGCACAGAACGAGGGCTCAGGGCCATCCCCAAAGCCCAGAGCCTTGACTTTCTCTCGGGATGGGGATGGGTAAGAGGCTGAGGTGACTGATGCACATTGCTTCTTTGTTCCAGRATGGAGGGAGTCTGGAAGGGAAGATTCTGATACAGAGGCAAACATCTGAATGTGCCTGGCCATGTTCTGGGCAAAGCAGAGTGGACACCAAGGTCCCTGTCCACTGGCCCCTACTCAGGGAGAGGGGAAAGACAGCAGTGGTTTCCTGGGAGGGGAAAAGAAGGAAGACAGCTTAATGCCTGCTCTWCCACCAGCTAGGGGACCTTGGGAAAGTTCCTGACTTTTCTGARAATCAGAGTCCTCATCTGTCAAATAAGGATGTGGGTTCCTGCTTCAAAGCCTGTTGCTGCCACAGCGGGATCCATGGCATCTGTTCCTGACGTGGCCAGTTCAGTCCAGGACACAGTTACCGTCTCCAAACCAAGCTGGCYGCACCTTCTAAATCCTGAGCAGACTGGAGGCAGGAAGTGAAGAAGGAACTGACATTTTCAGAGCACTATGTGCCAGGTATGGGACCAGAAGCTTCGCATATACTACCTCGTGAACTTCCTAGAATAATGTCAAAGGTGAAGGATTAGACCTTCATTTTATTGATGAGGAAACTGAGGCTCAGAGAGGCTGAGTGAGCAGAAAGTGGTGGAGTGGGGATTTGGAYCCTGGCGAGCCTGAGTTTCTTTCCCCCTGTGCCCTCTGAGCCTGACTTATACCAACTGGGGCAAAGGGGTAAGGTCACAGAAAGGCAGAATCTGCCGTCTTCAGCTGGCACATGTGAACTGGGCCCGAYGGCAGAGCCCAGATGGCACACAAATAGCATGCAGACCAGCCTGGGGCTTCCTGAGCTCTGCAGCAAGTCAGAAGGGACACAGCAAAAAAGGAAAGTGGGTTATATACAAAGATATGAAAAATTGTGCTCTATATGTGTAATAAGAAGTGTAATGCATTCTGCTGTCATGTATTTAAAAAATAAAATCAATTAAATTTTTTAAAAAAAAGGAAAGTGGGAGCCCAGCTTGGGGAGAGGCAAAGGGGTCAGGGCTGGGGCACCTGGAAGTGGCCGCTCCTGCGGACGTAAGGGCTGGAACAGATGACCATGAGCAGCAGCAGCAGCAGCAGTGCAACGCCCGTTGGGGAGGCTGAGCCGTGCACCCAGCCGATGCCAGGCCGCGTGGTGAGCAGCAGTTCCCAGAACTGGAAGGGGCTGGCCCCGGACTGAGCCAGGAGTGCTGCAGACAAGCACAAGACCGCTCTTGCACCTGCCTTGCCTCTGGGACCCTCTGCATCAAATACTGGCCCAGGCGGGGACTTTGGCTCAGAGTGCTGGCCCACCTTGGGCCCCTCTGCTTCCCTCTGCAGGCAGGCAGGACACCCAGGGGCTGCACCCATGTTCAGAGCTGGGAGCTGTGTAATCCAGGGGTTTGTGAGGCCCAGGTTCCCCCCCCCCAGCCCTTCCCTAGACCACTTACCGAAGTTTACAACGTGGGCCACAGTGTGCACAAGAGATAGTCCCACCACTATGTAGCCCATGAGCTGGTGGAACTGGATAACGTAGTCCAGGGGCAGCACCTGAGTCAGCCACGTGGCTCGTAGCCAYGTAAGGCAGCGCCTGAGCATCAGCACCTGTGGGTAGAGTGGCAAGAGCCCTGCCCAGCAGCTCCCACTTGTCCTTTCCCCAGCAGGGTATGCCTATGTCCCCCTGAGCTGCCTGGACTTCCTGAACAGACCCCCGCTGCTCCCCAGCCTTTGGTGCTCTCTGAGGTCCACAGCTGGGTCTCTAAAAGAGAGTCTCCAGAATCAGGGTGAGAAGAAAACRCTAGAGTGCCTGCATGTGTTGTTTTCTATGGAAACAAAATGAGAAACGTAGAAACTTTCACTAACGTTGAACATGTGCATTGACAAGGTACCTCTTCAGTGCAGATGTCAGATGGACACTTGGCACGTGCAGTTCTCAAGGTGTCCTGGGGGAAGACCCCGCTTTCCAAAATGCAGAGCAATTGGCGCAGGCTCCTCACTTTATCATTGCGATTGGTGGATTTATGTGTGCCTAGATATGTGGACCCACAGACTACAGTGTCTGCTTTAACTAAATGAAGCTAACTACGCCCCCCACCAAGGGCAGGCAGCTTAAGAGGATTCACTGCTGGGAAGCTGCAGAGTGGAAGTAGCATAACAAAGCAAGAGTGAGAGATCAAGAGAATGAGCCATGTGCCGCACATTCCTGGCATGAAGTCTGTCAACTGGTTATGGGGTTGAAACAAAGCCCACTCTGGCAAGAAGCTGATAATTCCAGGAAGCATGTTTAGAATAGAGATGTGCATCCCTGATGGTGAAGGGGAAGTCTGGCCTTACAGTGATATTGTGCCATAGCTGTATTAGCTAAGAGACTAGTTCATGCATATAGTAAAGCATATGAAGGGTTTTTGTTAGTTTTGTTTTAATTGCAGGCATGTGAGATACAAAATGCTTGGAGACCAATTCCATGGTGCAGAGGATCACATTGGGACTTAAATTAGAGGTGACCTGAAGTTTTTTTCTCTCTGAAYGGAGCCCTGCAGAGGCTTTACCATAGGGTTGTTGTGAGACCAAATGAAATGTACTTATCACCATGCCTGATACATAGGAAGCGCACTAAATTGCCAGTTATGTTATTCCTCACTGGCTGTGCAACTGTGGACAAGTCACTGTCCCTCTCTGGGCCTCAGTTTCCATCTCTGGGTGCTGGCCCAGGTGATTTCTAAGATTCCATCCTGCCCTGCTATTTCTAGGTGTCTGTATGTGAGAACCCACATTCTCCCCCAACCTGCTTCCCTGCAACATGCCAGTGTGGCCCTACCGCAATGAAGCTGCAGTTGAAGTTGAGGCATTGGCCACAGCCTTTGGCCACCATGATGCTGGCACCAAGGGCCCGGTGTGCATTGGCTGCCAGCACAAAGAGCAGCACTTGGAGGCCAGTGTAGGTGGCCAGGCAGAGCAGCTGGTTGCGGTGGTTGTGCCAGTAGGCAGCTGTCAGTGGGCGTGGCCTGTGCAGAGGACGACGGTTGGCAGGTGGTGTCAGCCAGCAGGCAGCACTGCAAGACAGGGCACTCTGCTCAGAGGGATGCAGTGGGGCAGGAGAGGGGAAGAATCTGTGTGGGCTGTGAGGGTCACCTAGAGGCCCCCACCTGCTGTGGCCCACCAACTCTTTGGAGCTGTGCAAGTAAGCCAGCTTCCTTCCACACTAGGAAACAGAGAGGTCAAGACTTGGTCACTGTCACACAGTTAGGTGGAAATGGAATGGAACTCTGGTGTGTTGGATGTCACAACCACAGCTATTTTTTTTTATTATTATTATTACCTCTGTTTACTTCTCCCATTTAAAAAAAAAAGGCAACCAAAAAGGAGAGAAGAATCTGWGATACACTTTGGTAAGTAACCCACAAGAAAGTTAAGACACAAAAAGAATGGATTGCAAGATTGGCACTCTTCAGACAAACTTGGGTCTGAGGTCAGACTCCACTCTTATTTTCTCCCCAGGATTTACTAATTGTGTACTTTTCTACTTTACTTGTTTATTGATATGAATTGCATGTCTCCAAAATGTCTCCCAGCAGAGTTGAGAACTCAGTCCCTGCCAAGCACTGCCCTTATTTTGAATGGAGCTTGATGTGTGGTGGCTGTTCAGCCAATATTTGTTGCTAATTATTTGTGTGATCCTAGGCAAGTTATTCAGAAGTAATTTTAATTTACTTTTGAAAAAATAGGCATTGTTATAAAATGCATTATTGCATGTGAAAGTGCCCCCTGCACGTAGTAGGTGCTTAATACTGTGAATTGATTCTGAAGAGACCGTGCAGAAAAAAATGGAGGCAAAACAATAGCTGCTCGAGGGACAGATCTTTATTCCCTGGGAAAAGGGCACGTGGGGACTACCCGCTCGGGACCTGGGTCTAGCCCCGACGCGGGCAGCGCCCGAGCCCCCGCAGCGTACCTGATGGTCAGGTTCTCCATGACGCCGGGGAACTGCTGCAGCTCGTCACGTAGTTCATCGAAGGTGATGGCACCGCTGCCGTCCTTGTCCGCGGACTGGAAGAGCGCCAGCGTCAGCTGGTCCAGCTTCTCCTCCGGCAGCGAGATGGCGCTCTCGCGCAGGCACGACCGCAGCACAGTGCGCAGCTCGTCGGGGTCGATGGAACCGCTGCCTGTCCCGGGTGAGGACGGAGGGGGGAGAGGGCGGAGCTGTGGCAGCCCTGCAGAAGCCCTGCAGATGCCCTGCACTCACATTGTATTGGGTAGCGGGTGTTTTCTCGTCACCCACCTTCAGTTTTCTGCCAACCATTTCCCTTTAGGCGCAAAGACAAAGCAAAGGACCAAATGTCACCTTCGTGCAGCTCAGAAACCTTCCATGGCTCCCTACTGCCTAGCTCAACAGAAATGAGGGCCTCCTCAAGTCTGGAGAATCTTTGMCCTCAGTGGATGGCTTTCTCCAGAATCAGTGGTATCCTCGCTAAGTATCCTTCAACTTCCAAGATGATCTGCCTAGAAAAAGTACTTGCTTAATCTGTAAGTAGCTGTGCACTCAGACTTCAATATCCATGAGGCCAACCGAATATGGGATGGTGTTGAGGAGAAGGGTCCTGTTGCTCTCCAACGTACAGCAGAATGTTTATCATGTTGTCTCAGAGAGTCCACAGCTGGGCACTCCAGCCCAGCCATGTGGCCTTATGTGGACATGGGTGGTTAAAAGTGTGATGGACAGCCCAGTGCACTGGCACACACCTGTAATTCCAGTTACTTTAGAAACTGAGGTAGGAAGTTCGAAAGATCAAAGCCTGRTCAATTTAGTGAGATACTGTCTCCAAATAAAAAGTAAAAGGGCTGGGGATATAGCTCAGTGGTAGAGTGCCCTGGGTTCAATCCCCAATACTTTAAATAAATAAATAAAT